AGGAAAGGGAACAACGCAGCCGTATAAGCCCAATTCACCAAAAAGACCAGCCCAAGCCTCTCACCTGTGTAGGTGTGCTTAACCAGCTACTCCAACCTGAGGGGCGCGCCAAAGCCGGTCTTGTGGTGAGTACCAGGGCAAAGGAGTTCAAGAGGACACCACCTAACCATGCAGGACCTCTTGGGCGAAAGAAAGCATTCCGTATCCTCAAACGGCTGGCCACCAACCCAATACGTGAGGATCAAACGTCGAAATTGGATTACCAAAAAATCCAAGAAGACTTAGCCTGGGCCAAGGAGCCAAGGAACCAATGGGGTCTGGTTAGACGGGCCCTTGCGTCACCCACCCGATTGCACTGATGCAGGGTGGTACCAGGGCAACGTAAAATTGATCGCCTGTGAAGGCGAGAGATCGGCAGCACTTTACAAGGCTGCCATAAACAAGGTCTACCCCGGGGCCAAGTTGGCAGTTTGCGAGGCTGCAGACATCCCATCTCGACCGAGAGCGATGGTGTGGCTGCCGTCGGAACACTTGGAGCCATGGGCTATTCTCAGCCTGCTGACCGGGTTCAACCCGAAGCTTCCGACAGATGGTTGGAAGGTGGTTAAGGTGGAGAAAACCGAGCGCATCACTAAGACGTGGTAATCCTCCTGATCCAGGCCTTCTTGGAACCCCTCGCATCCCAACAAAACCGTGTGAACTATGGGTTCGATAAGGTGCAACTGCGCATCTATGACACGGATAAGCTAGCGGCAGACAACCTGGCAACCCCCCGAGCGACGACGAATTAGAGCATGAGGAGGCCACCCTCACCGGCTACGTGTCAACCGACTCGGAGCTGACAGAGAGCCTGAAGCAGCTGTGCACCCAGGACACAACCCGACCAGGGCGCTCTGTTCTCCAGGACATAGCGGAGGAAGCGGAGGGTACCCAGACCAACCCCAGTGCCAAAGATGGTGCAGCTTCTGCAAATTAACCTGCACCACAGCAAGGCAGCATCCGCTGCCCTCCTCACTCGCCTGGCAACAGGGAACATAGACGTAGTCCTCATTCAAGAGCCATGGATTGTTGGTAGCACTATCTGTGGCTTATCAACCCCCTATACAAGCTATTTTACACCAAGGATAAGGGTAAAACCAGAACCTGCATTCTTACAAAGACACACTCACCAGCCGACCTCACCACGGTCAGACTGGAGCTAAACGAAAACACTCATCACACCATAGCATCATTCTATCTGGCTCACGACTACGATAGGCCATTACCACACTTATCTAAGGAACTCATCCTGGGTGGGGACGCTAACTCACACCACACACAATGGGGAAGTACAAACACAAACGAAAGGGGTGAGTTACTCTACGACTATCTCCTTCAATCAAATCTATTCATCTGCAACAAAGGTAATGACCCAACTTTCATCACTAGAAATAGGAGAGAATTCTTAGAAATTACACTAATATCTGATGCCCACTTAACCAGCTAGAAGCGTGGAAGGTGGGGATCGAGCACTCATTCTCAGACCACCAATGCATAGAGTTTACAATAACTCTAGACTGTCATCCCGCCGAGAACATTACTAATCTAAGATTAACCAACTGGGGATACTACAAAAATCTCCTCAACAGGAACCTACACGCTCCACCGACGCACGTACGCAACGGTCAAGAATTAGATAACATAGTTAACACTTTTACTGACATCTGCGGTGAGGCCATAAAAAGGGGTTGCCCAAGCAGAACAGTCAAAGCAAAGCACAAACACCCATGGTGGAACGCAACCCTGGCGAACCTTAAAAGAGAGTGTAGAACTTACTTCAATAGAGCTAAATACAACAATAGCGAATGTTCCAGGAATTTATAAAAGGAAATTAGAATATCAAAACGAAGAGCTTGGGCTAATTTCTGTAGTAGCATAGAACTTACTGCGGAAGCATCCAGACTCCGAAGAATTTTAGCAAAATCTCCAGCAACCATTGGCTAAAAACCAATGCTGATAGCTGGACGGAAAGCAGTCAGGAATCCCTTGAACTACTGTTAGACACCCACTTTCCTAAAAACACCCAAGTAGTGAAGGACCTCTACATAGAGGATAACTTTGACGACCAGAGCATAGACAACATCTCGAACACTGACCGCATTAAGTGGGCTGTTAACTCTTTTAAGCCCTTCAAATCCTCCGGCCCGGATGGGTTCTTCCCGGCTACAACGCACACTACCCTACCCTGGATGACAGCCATCTTCCACGGCTGCCTTGCTCTAAACCATATTCCAACAAGGTGGCTGGACGTTAAAGTAATTTTTATACCGAAAGCCTGCAAACCCTCCCACACCAACCCAAAGGACTTCCGCCCGATTAGTCTCTCTTACTTCATGTTGAAGACCCTGGAAAGGCTAATTGATCAACAGATACCGCCCTCCACTCTCTAGTATCTAGTATAGAGAGATGTTTCCGCAATAAGGAATACTCTCTGGCAGCGTTTCTAGACATAGAAGGCGAACTTAACAACGTCACCCCAACGGCGATTACAGATGCTGCGACTGAACTGGGCATTGAGTGGGACTCATACACACTATGCTTACCAGCAGAGTAGTGACTCCACTATGGGTGGAGGAATGTCAGCAGGGAAACCCCACAAGGGGGTGTACTCTCACCTCTTCTATGGGTTATAGTAGTCAACAAACTGCTAGCACTTCTACAAGAGGCGGGCACTAAAGTGATAGCCTGCGCAGATGACGTGGTTATCCTACTGCAGGGCAAATTCCCGCAAACTCTTTGCAATCCATCCTATCTCTCCAGGCTGACGGCTGTCTGTGGACTGGGAGTTAACCCAGAAAAGACCGAACTAGATCTCTTTACAAGGAAGTGTAATGTACCAAATCTAATTCTCCCAAAACTACACCAAACGCGCCAAACCCTTAGCAATCAAGCAAAGTACTTAGGTGTCATCCTTGACAAACCGCTCCTCTGGACAACATCCTAGATCGCACACGCAAAGCGGTCATAGCCCTCTTCGCTTGTAAAAAAGCCATAAGGAGGAAATAGGGTTTCTCGCCCATGATAGTTCACTGGCTATACACTGCAATAGTCAGGCCCATTCTCCTCTACGGAAACATCGTATGGTGGCCTTTCCTAGAAAAGAATTTAAACCTCCGGATCCTTCACAAGATCCAAGGAAGCGCAGAACTCTGCATCAGTGGGGCGCTCCGCACCACCGCCACTGAGGCATCAAACACAATTCTCGACCTCCAACCCCTGGACCTACTTGACAAAAGCTGGGCATCTGCAACAGCGCTGAGACTCCGCGAAGCAGCGGCAAGGACAACAGGCTCCACGGGTCACTCCATTATCCTAACAAAACATACATCCTTACCACATAGTACAGATTACGTTCCACCCATAGTCAGCTTCGAAAGAAGATACAAGATCTTCATACCCACCCATTCTGACTGGGACAACCTCACACACCAATTCGAAAACGCCGTCAACATATACACAGACGTCTTCTCTGCCGAACTAGACATAAAAGTCTCATTCCACCTACCAGACCACTGTAGTGTTTTCCAAACGGAAGTCATGGCAATCCAGTAAGCCATGACCCACATGGGCCATGACCCACATGACATGATGGGCACATCAGTACATAACGACATAGACATTTTCATCTTCTCGGATAGTCAAGCCGGTTTCAGGGCCCTCGACTCCTACACAACGAACTCAAAAAAATCTCTGAATGCCGAAAATCTCTTAACGAGATGGCCACTCATCTGCGAATCAACCTCATCTGGGTGCCTGGACACCGAAATATTGAGGGCAACTGCATAGCAGACGAGCTAGAAAGACAAGGGACAACCGCCGACATCCTTCGCGATAAGGACACCGTGGGTATGATCATGGCTACCTGCAAGCTCCATCTCAGGCAGAGATTGTATACACTTTCCAACAACCGTTGGAACTCAATTACTATGTTTATGCTATGGGAATCGCGATTTCTTGAAAGCGCGATATAGAAATAACCCCTGTTTATGCGACACATATCATTTCGTGATTTGATTTCAGTAGAGATGCCAGACGTGAAAAATTAGGTATTTTAGTCTGGTCACACTTTCATAAAAAGTAAACAAACCAAACAACGCGATGGATAAAGTTAAATTTTTTATTTACAATCGGCAAATAAGAACCGAAAATTTAATTTCCAAAGTCGCTGAGTGGAGGCAGAGAAGATCGATGGCTTTATTAAAAGCGAGGCGGTTTTTGGTGGCCAGGAGTCACAGAATGCTGATGCAGGTTTACCCGGCTGCAACCGCGACTCTGTAGCGTGTAACGGTTGCATGAAATCGGGAATCTGCAGTTGCGGGGCGCGCTATTAGGGTCCGGCACTCGCTCGTCGGCTTTGGGGGTGGAGGTCTTGCGCCTACAGATTCGCGTACTGACTACACATTATTATCACTAAGATCAGAAATAAGCGTGCTAGCGACAAGAGAGAGAACGATAAATAAATTCAGGAATAAGTATTATAGTGACAGAAAAGTTTTGGACAAAGTTAGCTATGCGAATCCACGGATGGTATTGTGGTCGCGTATGGCCCTCCCAACCTCTGATCACCACCTTAAAGCATGGCTTCGGTGACCCCTTCGATACCCTACGATCGAGAAATCATCAGCTTAGTTCAGTTCAATGTTATTTATAGATCCATGGTTTTATTTCTGTTCGAAAAGGTAATTAATTTTCCGTAGATGGCGGTACAAGTCATATTTAATATTTATAAAAAGAACATAGGGTATTTAAAAAAAAGTAAGGCATAGGAAGATAATATTCATGATATAACAATGTATTTTACTAAATATAAAATTTAGCTTAAAGAAATAGTTTTCCGATAGTTCTAGGTATTCTGTATTATTTTTTTTTTTAGTAAAGAATTACTTCTTCAAGGGACTTTCTAAATTTATCAATTCATGTATTCAGGCAATTAGAGACTTTAAGATTTAATAATAGGCGATAGTAATTAACATTCAACTTCTTTTGAAAATCGCAAATTAATTCATAGAGAATGCAATTAACTCAAGGTATTTTAATTAATTAATTGTTTTTAGATCGGGGTTTATGTTTAAACAAGTTTCGTTCACTTTACGGATCGGCGAGAAATGCGAATAAAAATATATATATGAGATTAGTTAGTGTGACTCACGGCATTTCCTCCAACGTTGAAGATCGATCTCCGGACGGGATGGGTTGGCTGTAATTTAAAGGGTAGCGATTTTTCTCGCCATGTAGAATTTAAAGGGCAAATAAACATTTCTCTCATTTCTCTTAGACGCGCGAACGATTTAAACTAAACTTGTAACCCGTACCTAATTCATCGTACTTCCTTGAATACTTTACAATAACAAATTTCTCATTTAAACCTAAAAAAAATATAACTCTTCTTAAATTAAATTAATGCTTCTCGGCGTGCATTATCTCTTTTGACCCGATCGACTTGTTAATTTCTTTTACTTTGTTAATATAACTATCGCTTTACATAGCGTTGCCACTTGAGGCTTTACGAAAAATTATTGTTTGCCTTATGGTTTACATATCTTTGATTTCATTGATTTTCTTTCACATGAATTCTTAAATTCGGTTTCTCAAAGCGTGTTGGTTATAATACAGGGTTAGGACTGATCCATTACGAAAGAGAGTTTTTATCTTCATTAAGGTTAAACAAAGTTGGCTAGTGCGCCATGCTAGGTTAAGGCCGTTCACACACGCGGCGCTTTTACAAAATAAACGGGTATAAGTCCCTAAAGCTGCGGCAGCGATATTCCACTCGGGAACCTCCTAGGCGGATACGCGCACCCCTTAAAACTCGGCTGGTGTACGGATGCGCGGCATGAGGGGCATCGGGCAGATTATGTAATTGAATTAAATTGCCATCGGGTCCTCTTTATATAAACTGCTCTTCTTGGCCGGCACTACATGACCCGTAGATAGGTAGATAGTAGATAGGGGCACTTCAGGGCACTAATCTCTCCAAATCATTCCTCGCGGGCCAACCTGACGATTGGGCATTTAAATTAATTACGATATGGCGACATGTGTGTCTCAAAAAACCATACCTGACGATTGGGCCCCGAGATTTGATTTTGGCCTTCTTGAGGTAAATCCTCCAGCAAATTGGCCGAATCAATAAGATGCGCCTTTCGCGGCAACTTGAGGCAGCACTGACAGGGGTTTCCACCCAGAATTTTAGAAATACCTGTAGTGAAATTTTGTTGGAGGTTAAACACGCACCAATTTCTAACAAAATGCACTTGCACTTACTTTAAGCTTTATTCGCTGGCTAGCTTTTATAGCTGGCAGCCGCACTGAGTGCTAAACACCACTTAGAATACTGGATGCCACTCAAAATTACTGGATGCCACTCAAAAAATATATATTTCGGGCTTTTAGCCTTTTAATTGAAAAAATGAAATTTTGAGCTGTGGGCACGTCCGTTTGGCGGAAATAGATATCATATGATGACCGGCAGGTGTCAAAACTAGAACTTTCCAAGACAACCCTGGCTCAGCTGTTCAAAACTATCGATGTATCGAATAGCCGACACAGCTGGCCACACTAGGTCAAGCTTTGGTTTAAGCGGGTCCTGTATAGCAGGCTTTCAGGCTGAACCTAAGTTCGCCAGTCGCTACAGGCGCCGTTACAACTCTCAGCCTGAGGACATCCAGAGTGCGAAGATTTAGGAGCAGGCCAAGAAGCAATGCATTTTGGTTACTTATGCAAGAGCCAAAAAATGAAAATTTGTTTTTCGAAAACTTAAGGATGTCCAAGAGTTCATTTTTCGAACTGTGCGAATTGCTACGTCCCACATACCGGTGCAGAGCATGTTTCTAACCGTTCCAGTTCCCTTGGAGAAACAAGTTGCGATCTGCGTATATAAACTGGCGACCTGTGCCGAGTATCGAGTGATTGGGGATGTATTTGGAGTACATAAAAGTACTGTGCACAAGTACTTTCACATTGTGGTTAAAGCAATATTGAAACTTACGAGTGAATTAATTTCATTCCCAAAACTGGATGAATGCATTCAAAATGCAAGTGCATTTCAAAAAATGTGTCACATTTCTAACGTGATTGGAGCTCTTGACGGTAAAATGCCTTTTAGAGTATTAATTACAAATTATAAACGCTATGTATCAATTATTTAGGAATACACATTCCTGTTAAAGCCCCAAAAATTGGGTACATGGATTTCGTCAATCGAAAGGGATGATGGGGACCATCGATGTCCAGATGGTCATGCAAGCTGTAGTTGACAACAATTACTTGTGAGTAAAAACATATTTAGATATTGGTTGTTTTTCCAAATATTATATATTTTTAGGTTTAGAGACGTCAGCATGAAATTTCCAGGAAGTGTCCACGACGCGACGGTCTTTAAAGAATCGGGAATTTTTAAGAACCATAGCCGAATTATTCCGGAATTTTTAAAACTGGTGGGCAACAAAGAGATTCCCTTCATTATCCTGGGAGATCCGGCATACCCATTGCTACCGTGGCTTTTAAAACCATATACCGGACACTTAACTCCACATGAAGAGTCGTTTAACTGCTACCTTAGCACGGGCAGAATTGTAGTAGAAAATGCCTTTGGTCGATTAAAAGGACGCTGGAGGTGCCTGGCCAAAAGAATAGATATTAATTATAAATTTGTGCCATATGTTGCTTTGGCTTGCGCGACACTTCATAACTTCGTCGAAATAAGAAAGGAGATGTTTACGCCAATCAACGAGTATGAATGTAACCAGCAACCACCGGACTGGCATTGTAACCAAGTACTGGAATCTTCTGAATGCGATCCATCTGACCTTAGGGAACACCTTAAGGAATACATTGTTTCTAACTTTCCTTTGCGAAGCAGTTCAAAATAAATGAAAATGCACACTTACTTTTGTTTTGAAACATTTCAGCTTTAATTGAAGTTGAAGAATTCTCGCATGAATCTTTGGGTCTCGGCCCGATCCTCCGCAAAAACATCGCGCATGCTCTGCACAAAGGTGGCGTCGATTTCCCGTTGAGCCTCAAGGAACTCCTGTTTCTGCACCTCCAGCCTGTCCAACGCCTCCTTGTTGTCGTTTTACATCTTCTGAACCATCTGCACGACGTTTGCCTTGTCTAAAAATCAAATGAAATCATTGAAAATTACCATCGTGTTACCGTTAATGAGAATTAATATGCTTACTTAAAGTTCGGCGGCTCCTAGGCATAGATGTCTCCACCAGGAGTTCAGGTGCATCAACAGTAGAACTGGATTCATCAATCCCCTCTGTTTCGGTGAAGACTTCATTGGCCAGGTCATCGAAGCCATCGATTGCCACAAATCCCTCCTCCGATGTGTCCACACCTACAGCCTGAGACACCGGGCGAGTCCCATACATCTCCTCGAGCTCCTCGAAGTGGGTGCACGTTTTCCTGGCAGCCCCACTGACTGCATTGCTGCGCTTTACTTCAAAATATGATTTCTTTAACTGTCGCAGCTTGGTTTTGATTTGGTCTCCGGATTTGATCATATTTTTAGACTTCATCGATTCTGCGAGGCCCCTGTAAACTATGTTGTTTCGCTTGGTCTTCCCATCGAGCTTGCTCAATATATTATTTTCCTTCATACATAAAAGTACTGTGCACAAGTACTTTCACATTGTGGTTAAAGCAATATTGAAACTTACGAGTGAATTAATTTAATTCCCAAAACTGGATGAATGCATTCAAAATGCAAGTGCATTTCAAAAAATGTGTCACATTTCTAACGTGATTGGAGCTCTTGACGGTAAAATGCCTTTTAGAGTATTAATTACAAATTATAAACGCTATGTATCAATTATTTAGGAACACACATTCCTGTTAAAGCCCCAAAAATTGGGTACATGGATTTCGTCAATCGAAAGGGATGATGGGGACCATCGATGTCCAGATGGTCATGCAAGCTGTTGTTGACAACAATTACTTGTGAGTAAAAACATATTTAGATATTGGTTGTTTTCCAAATATTATATATTTTTAGGTTTAGAGACGTCAGCATGAAATTTCCAGGAAGTGTCCACGACGCGACGGTCTTTAAAGAATCGGGAATTTTTAAGAACCATAGCCGAATTATTCCGGAATTTTTAAAACTGGTGGGCAACAAAGAGATTCCCTTCATTATCCTGGGAGATCCGGCATACCCATTGCTACCGTGGCTTTTAAAACCATATACCGGACACTAAACTCCACATGAAGAGTCGTTTAACTGCTACCTTAGCACGGGCAGAATTGTAGTAGAAAATGCCTTTGGTCGATTAAAAGGACGCTGGAGGTGCCTGGCCAAAAGAATAGATATTAATTATAAATTTGTGCCATATGTTGCTTTGGCTTGCCCGACACTTCATAACTTCGTCGAAATAAGAAAGGAGATGTTTACGCCAATCAACGAGTATGAATGTAACCAGCAACCACCAGACTGGCATTGTAACCAAGTACTGGAATCTTCTGAATGCGATCCATCTGACCTTAGGGAACACCTTAAGGAATACATTGTTTCTAACTTTCCTTTGCGAAGCAGTTCAAAATAAATGAAAATGCACAATTACTTTTGTTTTGAAACATTTCAGCTTTAATTGAAGTTGAAGAATTCTCGCATGAATCTTTGGGTCTCGGCCCGATCCTCCGCAAGAACATCGCGCATGCTCTGCACAAAGGTGGCGTCGATTTCCCGTTGAGCCTCAAGGAACTCCTGTTTCTGCACCTCCAGCCTGTCCAACGCCTCCTTGTTGTCGTTTTACATATTCTGAACCATCTGCACGACGTTTGCCTTGTCTAAAAATCAAATGAAATCATTGAAAATTACCATCGTGTTACCGTTAATGAGAATTAATATGCTTACTTGAAGTTCGGCGGCTCCTAGGCATAGATGTCTCTACCAGGAGTTCAGGTACATCAACAGTAGAACTGGATTCATCAATCCCCTCTGTTTCGGTGAAGACTTCATTGGCCAGGTCATCGAAGCCATCGATTGCCACAAATCCCTCCTCCGATGTGTCCACACCTACAGCCTGAGACACCGGGCGAGTCCCATACATCTCCTCGAGCTCCTCGAAGTGGGTGCACGTTTTCCTGGCAGCCCCACTGACTGCATTGCTGCGCTTTACTTCAAAATATGATTTCTTTAACAGTCGCAGCTTGGTTTTGATTTGGTCTCCGGATTTGATCATATTTTTAGTCTTCATCGATTCTGCGAGGCCCCTGTAAACTATGTTGTTTCGCTTGGTCTTCCCATCGAGCTTGCTCAATATATTATTTTCCTTCATCAGGCCAAGCAGCTCGGTTACCTCGGCGTCTGACCAAAACGATCTTTTCGATTCCATGGCTATTTCAATTATAAATTTGTTTAATTTGCGTTTTAATTTAAACTTTTATGCACGGCGTTGCCACCTGATTTTTATAGCGTTAAGTTGGTTGCGCATCACGAATTCACGCTTTGAGGCTGAAATCATAGTCAACTTTCGTGTGTTGCCGAATTCACGAAATGGCGTTTATGCACACACGAATCGGCCGAAATCGCGAAATGAAAGCGTGAATTCGGCATCGCATAAACACAGTAAATCTCAACATGCCACAATTCTAGACTCACATGGCCAAACTACATCTCGAAAAGAACAAAAACTCTCCCACAATGTAGCAGGGAGGACATATCCACTCTCCTAAATGCCCTCACGGGCCACTGTCTTATAGGGGCTCATGCGCACAGGCTGGGACGCAATAACCACGACTTCTCCCGCAGCTGCAAACAGATAGACGAAGAGGATAGCATCGAACACCTCCTATGCTTCTGCACAGCGCATAACCTAAAGCGCTTTCAAACCCTAGGTAGCTACACACTTCCGAACCTTGCGGCCATTCAGAGCGTAAGCATTCAAAAACTCTTATGTTTCCTGAGAAAAACAAAATACTTCGCGAAAGCAAATAACCCATGCGCTAGGGAAAAAGGATCTGATCAGAGATCACGTGGTATGACAAGGGCCCAATGTGGCCTAAGTGTGGGGATTAGTATCTAATCTCCAACCACTCACACCTAACCTAACTATTGGACAATTGGTTAACGATTAATCGTCTGCAAAGACAAAATCTATTAACCAAATCTATTAACCAAATGAAAATTTCTGATGTTTAAGCAAACGGAAAAAGTAAGATCCCTGTGAAAGATCTTTAAATTTTTAAAACGCTTAGAGTTTTTAATTTTTGTACCACTTTCTAGCTTCTGTTTCTTTAAGCCTTTGAAGAAACATCAACAGTTTTTAAGTGGTGCAGCGTGTCAAACGTTTTTTTGGGTCAATCGATAGGTATTGATGAGATCAATACATTTCAATCAAAATTTTTATTCTAGAATCAAAACTGTAGGAGGCACAGTTTTGGGCGTTTTGTTGGCGTTAGAGTGGGCGTGGCACGCAGCTCTTATAGTTTCCGAGATTTCAGCGTTCATCCGGACAGACGGACAGACGGACATGGCTAGATCGATTAGGCTAGTGGTCCAAATCAAGTATATATATACTTTATGGGGTCGGAAACTTTTCCTTCTGCCTGTTACATACTTTATGACGAATCTAGTATACCCTTTTACTCTACGAGTAATGGAATATGTCGGTTAGTGTATTAGCTTGATTTTTCACGGAAAATGTGGAAACTCTAATACTGCCGTTGGTATCTTGTTCTTAACCTTTTCCTTGACGAATAGTAATTAGGCCATGAGGCTATGGCTGTTCCCGCAGGCTGCGCAGGGCAAAAGGAGGAAAAAAAGTTTTCAGTTTCAAGAAGGGCATATTATTTCAGCTCAAATCTGTGGTCGAGGAGAGAGTGACAAAAATAAGAATAAAAGTTTGTTCAATTCATATATTTTTTTTATTTGTTTTAAAAAAATCGCTATTACGATTCGATTTAGTAAAATTTTCCAAGACACAGTCGCTGCTGCAGAAAACACTATAAAGTATAGATTTTTGGAAGGTTCAAGCTGGATACAACTAAAGAAACTAAAGGGATCCCTTTTGTGATGAAAAACTTTGCATGTCATGGGTTCAAAAAGCTTTGTTGAGATGGTCATGTTTTTCAACCGCTCTCGGAAACTTTTCCCTACGACATCCTATCTTGGATTTTCATGCAATTCCCATACTTCATACTATACTGTGAAACCCTGACCTTTGTGAAGACAAACAGGCATTATTGTTTTGTTTTAGATTTTATGAAAACAATGTGCCAAGGCCATTGCATATCTTTATTTTGTTTTTCGGTTTCATCGTCCCACGTACAGCGCTCTCTCCGCCGCTCAGCGTTGCAGTTTTCCGTTATAAAGCGGCACTCAGAGCACCGCACGAATCATGGTATAAATTTACAAGGTAGTCTCGTCGGGAAAATGTAGTCCGTTAACGATAATTACAATACGAGCGGGTAAAAAGGAAAGAAAACGGAAGAAAACCCGAATGATTAGGAAGCCGGTTAGATAGATTTAGTACAGTTGTACAATGACCGTAATATTGCGTTCTTTCGCTGTCTCCTCCTTGCACCTCTCTTCGTTGACGGATCGCCGCTGGACAAATTCCTACAAGGTGAGTTCCAAAGTAAACAGAACTTTTAAAAAAAAGACAGAAAAAATAGTTTTTTCGGCAAAATCAATTTTTTTTATTCAAAATAGTCTCCTTCTGCTTTAATACAGCGTTTTGCACGGTCCAAAAGCATGTCGAACGAGTGTTTTAGCTCGTTGCCCGGTCTGGCCGCCTGTATGCCGGTGCAAGCCTTTTGAATGGCCTCTACGTCTGCATAACACTTTCCTTTCATCGGCAAATGCATTTTTCCGAAAAGGTAGAAGTCGCACGGTGCCATATCAGGTGAATATGGGGAGTGGTTGATGGTTAAAATGTGATTTTTGGTCAAACAGTCGGACACAAGCGTCGATCGATGAGACGGCGCATTATCGTGCAACAAACGCCAACTTCCATCTTCGCGATATTCGGGCCGAACACGTCGAATATGGCGCACCAAACGCTTCAAAACTCCAAGGTAGAATACCGCATTAACGTTTTGGCCGGGTGGAACAAAGTCTTTGTGGACAATACCCTTGGAATCATAAAAACAAATCAGCATTGTCTTCACTTTTGACTTCTCCAGGCCCGATTTTTTGGGTTTTGGCTCGTCCGGCGCCTTCCATTCAGCACTCTGGGGTTTTGTTTCGGGATCATATTGAAAACACCACGTTTCGTCACCAGTCACAATCTTGTAAAGGAAGTTCGGGTCTTTTTTTGCCTCTTTAATGATGTCCTTCAAATGTTGAATTCTGAGCAATTTTTGGACGTCAGTCAATTTGTGCGGAACAAACCGTGCACACACCTTTTGTAAGCCCAAATGTTCGGTCAAAACGCGATAAATCGATGTTTTGGAGATGTTCAATTCTATTTCCATGAATTTCAATGATGATTTCGGCTGATTATACCCGTTACTCGTAGAGTAAAAGGGTATACTAGATTCGTCGGAAAGTATGTAACAGGCAGAAGGAAGCGTTTCCGACCCCATAAAGTATATATATTCTTGATCAGGATCACTAGCCGAGTCGATCTAGCCATGTCCGTCTGTCCGTCTGTCCGTCTGTCCGTCTGTCCGTCTGTCCGTCTGACCGTCTGTCCGTCTGTCCGTCTGTCCGTCTGTCTGTCCGTCCGGATGAACGCTGAGATCTCGGAAACTATGAGAGCTAGGCTATTGAGATTTGGCGTACAGATTCCTGAGCTTCTTACGCAGCGCAAGTTTGTTTCAGTAGACTGCCACGCCCACTCTAACGCCCACAAACCGCCCAAAACTGTAACTCCTACAGTTTTGATGCTAGATAGAAAATTTTAACTGAAATGTATTGTTCTCATCAATACCTATCGATTGACTTAAAAAAAAGTTTGCCACGCCCACTTAAACGCCCACAAACCGCGAAAACCTGTGACGCCCACAATTTGCATGCTAGATAAAAAATTTTAACTGAAATGTATTGGTGTCGTCAATACCTATCGATTGATCCAAAAATAATTTTGCCACGCCCACTCTAACGCCCATAACGCTTAAATCTGTCTACCGCCGGTAGGTGGCGCATTTTAATTTCGCTTTGCTGCTTGCATATCTCCATTTCCCTTTGAGTAATGGGTATCTGATAGTCGAGGTACTCGACTATAGCGTTCTTCCTTGTTTTTTATGAATTCACGCACAGTTTCGATGGAATTTTCGGTGATCACGGATTTTGGTTGGCCCACATGTTCATCGTCATTTATGTCCTCACGACCACTTTGAAAACGTTGAAACCACTCGTGTACTCTGCTACGGGATAGGCAATCATCGCCATCAACTTTTTCCATCAGTTGAAACGTTTCGGTAAAAGTTTTACCAATTTTAAAACAAAATTTAATGTTGGCTCCTTGCTCGAAGCTCATTTTCGCACCGATGACAAAAACATACTGACACTTAAAACGCAATAACCTCACTTTCAATAGATGAAATGTCATGAAATTTTTACTGGAAGTCGATAAACGATAGCAGATTCGAACGCGCCACTAGAGGCCCCTAGATTAAAAAGTCCTCTTTACCTTGGAACCCACCATGTATGTGTTCTTATCGCGGTGCCCACTCTCTAATCAGATACTATTTAACTGTTAACTGTGCCAAGAAATACGAATTTAGCGGCATCATCACATTTAAAATTTCCTGATGTTCTGGCAAAATGTGGTGGTGGCGGTCATAATGGGATGAGGAATCTATATCTGAAATCTCAATTCTCTATCCTTAACAGGTTCTGAAATATCAGCGTTCATACTTACGATTTTTTGAAGGCGCTAGAGTGCGGGTGGCAGCATTTTTTAGGTCAACCGATAGGTATTGACGAAAACAATACATTTCAACATTTTTGGCTTGTGGGCTTGAGCTGCGTAGGAAAATAAGGATTATAAATTTGAAATGTCAACTCTCTAGGCTTAATAGTTTCCGAGATCACAGCGATCACACGGACAGGCGCTCAGACAGACAGAGCGCAAACTTCTTGCTGAGTAGTTTTCGGTTCGATAAAATGACGGCTAATTTCACAAAGCCTACTAAGATGACATTTTTTATTCTCAACCACAAGCAAACCTCAAACAACTGATGCAATATCCAACGTGTTGATTAACAGTACTTTCTCAATGATTTTCGTTCAGCTACATTAAAGAAGTCGAGAAAACCTTTTTGATTTTACGACAAGTTTATATGGTCTTTAACTTTTTCAGACATACTGCCATCAGGGACTTGGTCAGGGACTCGGGAAAAAGGCCTTTAACGAGGTAAATATCTAGTGACAATCGCACCTTCAACACATGAGGGTTGCTATATATGTTTCTGGCCTACTAATGAAAATGCAAATATTTATCATCAAAAATGGTTTTATTGTTTTTCTAGGTATTCTACAGAAAAATTTATACACCTTTGCATGCGCTCAAAACGATTTTACAAGCACTTTTTTCACTCTGATTGAGTCACCTCAAAAAAAAGCTTTGAACGCTTTAACAGCATCTTCTGGCGACGAAAGTCGTTGACCACGCATTTTTTCTTGATGTGCGGGAGTAAAAAAGGCGTTGGGTGCCAAGTCAGGGCTGCACGGAAGAAGACCCTTCAATTTAACGTTTTGGTCGGGCAAAAAGGAAGCTTACTTCAGCAGTCCGAAGTTTCTATACCCTTGCAGGTCGTTCTAGTGGGAGCATTGTATGTACAGAGCTTTCAGATTTGTGGAAAACTAAGACCTAATCACAGAAATTTTAAGATAAAGTTCCGTTTCAATTTACTACCGTATCTATTTACCAAAAACAAAATATAACGGTTTTTGTACTATTTTGACATTGAATAATCCGATCGCTCCTATGTCAGCTATATGATAAAGTCGTCTGATCTTTATTAAACTTTTTTTTTGGAAATTCTGAAATATTAAAAAAATTATTCCCAAGAGTAGAAGGTAATATGTCAAAATATTTATGTATACTTAAATATTATTATTAACTTAAATCTTACATGTTTTTTGCTTAAATAGGTTTTATCGAACGATTGGACATTTTGGTAGCATCATAAGCAGCGGGTAACACAAGTCACAATAATGCAATTTTTTCAATATTAGAGGAATTGTGTGAAATCAAAAAATTCTAATGATGTTTCTCAAGCCATGGAGAGAATATCTAAATCGGGTCATGGAACACCAAAAAACCTGCAATCTGATGATGGCACTGAATTCTTTAATACGAAATTTAAAGTACTAACGAAAAGTTATATGATAAATCATTATTCTTCAGTACTCTATAAGCATCTATAGTTGAACGTTTACAATAGAACTCTTAAATAATTAAATAATAATGTTGATATATATGATGTATAAGCAATTAATTAATAAATATAATAATAGAAGGCATAGAACAATAAAAATGAGTCCATGTAATGTCAATTCTTCCAACGAAAAACAAATATTACAACATTCTATAATCACCTGAAAATATTTGTTGCGAGTAAATTCCGTAAAAGGTACCACGTTCGTTTTAGTAAATATAAACATGTCTTTGAGGGGGTATACACAGAACTATACAACTGAAATCTTTAAAATTAGAAAGGTGAGGAATACATACCCTAAAACATACTTACTTGAAGATTTAGATGGTAGCCCGATTCAGGGCGTATTCTATAAAGAAGAACTCAAAATAAACACGATTCGCCCACACATGCCTAGTTGAAAAAGTTGTAAGGCAAAAAGGAAATACAGTTTTGGTTAAGTGGCTGGGGTTTTCAAAGACTAGCTGGATAAATAAGAAAAACATTTTGTCGTATGACAAATGATTTATTTAATTAATTTTTATTTATCTGCTTATCTTATCTTATATTCCGTTTAAAATTAATGTTTTGTACAATGTTTTCTTAAATAAAATTAAAAATAATAAATATACTTTTTACAAACTCAAAATAATTTTCATATATAAAGTATCTATCATAATTAAACATCTCCAATTCAACTGATTTATGAAATAGTTATTTTTCAATATGTTCCTTTTAAAATTTAAGGCTATCTAATTAATTTTAATTATTTTGTATCATCTCACCCAAGCAAAAAGAATTAGAAGCTAGCCATTCAATATGTTCTAATATATCTTTTTTGATTAATCTTTGATGTTTTATTTATTTTTTTACCATGGTCTTCATTACGTAACTCTAAAAATTGTGTTTCGTTAACATTACGTTTTCGTTTGTTAGAATTTTTTGATTAACTTTAATTGTAGTTATTTTGTCTGCTTTTGATTTAAACATTGTTCTATTACCATATAGTGGGGTCCCAGAAAATAAAACTTTTTTATGGTGTTCACTTTTAAGATTTCGTGAACTCACTCCCTTTGCTTTATTATGTGAAGATTCAAGTTGATCTATTCTACAACAATATACCTTTCAGCCCAGACCTACAAATTCTGTCATGAGTTTACCGTTAGGCTCATCTTTAATAAACCGTAAACTCTTTTTTTATCTTTTTTGAAGTTATACAGATTAATTCTTTCATCTGAATAGTCCGATGAATCAAGATTTGCTTCAAGATCATTACGAATATCTTTATAAAAATCCTCAGTTTTTATTGTACAGATAAATGAATCCGTATCCATATAACAAAAAAGGAACATTTCCTGTAACTTTGGCTTCATATATTGGTAGTGAAAACAATACATTTTCCATTTCGGTAAGTCTAATACTGCAATTCCTAAATACATTGGCTTATTAGGTTAAGGTAAAGGTTTACACAGATGAGAGTATTTCGAAGAAAGAGTTTCATTCTTTTTCATCGTAACTACAATCATTTAAACCATTAAATTCGAATTACTATTACTATCAAGACTTGCACGTGTTTCCTTACGAAAGTTACCTTAGTTCTTAAGGAATTATTAGAAAAGATTCACCGAATGTACCTACAACTGATAATGTTAACACTTATTTTTTTAAATAATTGTACGGCTTACTTTTTAGATGAAATTAAGTACGAAATAAACGGATGTGAGATTGATAGAACACGATTTCTCTGTATGACTACTACCCTAAACATTTTTATATCTCTGGATAATCTTCAAAGTCAAAATCTATTAAATTCTGGATGGAGCGGTGGAGACGAAATTTCTAAGGGACTCCACTTCAACTTTTTTGCGCCATTAAAATTTTTTTTGGGATTTCATGAGGATTATAAAAACGTTTTGCTAGAAACTTAGAATCTTTGCGATGTGTTTGAACAAACCAGATATGATCATACCATTAAACTGAAAATGACGAATATAAACTGAAAAATTCCCCAAGAAACTCCGAGCGATTTTGCAAAAATTAAGATGTACGATATTATTAAAAGTGGTGTAAGCCTGCCAATCGCATTCCGGAGTTGGGATTCATATGTTAACCCAAAATTGGGGTATGGGAGTCAACACAGCTGGAATGTGAAATTTTCGGCTAACCGCGAAAAACCAAGGTTTGCCATAATTGGATTTACACTAAATGGAGACCTTATCACAAATAACTTATCAAACTTGAAAGTTCACTTGATTTCTGAGTCATATCCATATGATAATCTGAACGTTGATTTAAGTAAGAATCAGTATGCTCACCTATATGAAATGTATACAAGATTTCATCTAGTTACTATAATCGTGAATCACAACCATTTTTGACCCCAAATTAATTTAAATTGAATTCACCGATTATTGTGGTTGATCTTTCATATCAAAACGAATCAGTGAAAACTGGTCCTATTGTTGTGAAAATTTCAATAGAACTGAAGACACCAAGTCATGAAAGTACCCGCACTTGTTGTCTGAATATAACCCATTAAACGGACTTATTCAACGAGATGTTTAACATTAGAAAAGTGTTGAAAGATACGGTTTCAATTGATGTTTAAGGTTTCTTTGATAATAATAATAATAATTTTACTCTAAATGAAATTGGAATTTTATTCGAAAAAGATTCAAGCTTGAATAATAGTTTTTTAATAGAACCACCATATGATTTTACTTTGCTAAATACAAAATGTCGAAAGACTGCAATTTGGTTAACCAATACACATCACACAATTTTTTGAAACAATGGAGAAAACACTTTTCCGCAAACTCGAAAGTATACATGAACAATTACACACGGAAAACAAATAATTTGTAAAGGTGTGGAAAAGAAACGATTTCTACAGACGTTTTTTGGGAGTCGTCAGCTCATTAATATCGCGGAAATGTGCTGTCCGTCACTAATCAGGTTTAAAGGAAACCGGATTCCATATTGTGAAACACATCTTAAGGGCGGGGTTGGTGCTCTTAACAAATCATACATTATTTTGACATTTTTTAAAAGCCGCTTCAAAACAATAATATAATTTTTATACATCATTTTAAAGTTGAGACTAGATGTGTAAAGACCAACAAGAAAACAGAATTAATATAATAAAATTTCATGAGGAAACGTACCAAGTTATTGAACAATTTAAAGGACAGATAATCCGAATTTTCAATACCTTCTTAACACAAAAACGATGTTCATGAATCGAGGTGGACATGATTTCCAAACTACGAATTATGGTGAACACTTTACATTTTGTAATCCTAAATTGACATCGGAAACGTGCGCCTGCCTCTTTTATGCAAATAGCAGGAACGAAGCCACAAAATTAATTTTAATATATAATAAAATATGTTTGCAATACCAAAAAAAAATGAATAAATTTATTGTTATGCTACATAGTAAACTTCTGAATTATTATATTGAGTTAAGTTTACAGGTAACTGGAGATTAAAGGTTACAGGAGAATGGAAAATATTTTCTTGACTGAGACTTGTTCGCTACTTGCGAGTTGTTGCTCGGTCGTAACTTAAACCCCTATTATGGGGCATGCTAGAGCTAGCCGTGAGGTCGTGGGTCCCATGATCTTGTCAATGAGCGTGCGCCTTCAGGCTTGTGAATGTATCCCATTTATTGCGGTCAGGTAATGGACAGGTGCGAAGGTTCGGGTAGCTCTTGACTGAATCCCTTG